TATATATATATATATATATATATATATAAATTCAAATAACACTGCAATTTGCCAGATATGGGCAGGAGGACCTACAAGCAAACTTTGCATTACTTCTTCTACAAATATCCATTCAACAGAAACATTTATTACATGGGAAGCTTTGTCTGCTTAATTTTTTGCAATTTTAAAACGAAGAAGGCTGCTGTTTTACTGTCACCATAATTTGTTCCGATCACTGCGATTGGAACAATATGTAAGCTCTCCGTAATTAGAAATGAATTTTAAAATTCAAATGTGTTGATCATGCTTCTCTTTCAGCTGTCAAAATGCACATGGTTTTGCCTTTTTTTTTTCTAAGAAAGGACCGAAAACCACATTTTATCATTTAAAAACAGCCGTGAAGAATAGGGAGATAAGGAATTCCTTAGCACATAGGAAGACTAGCAACATTCTATGAAAATGTTTATTTTCAAAAATAAACTATTAGCTTCCTTTTTTTTTTACATTTGAAGAAGTCCTTTTGGCACAACTGACAGTTGAAACAGGAGATTTTCATTTTCTATAACCTGAAATATCAGAAAATAGGTAACATCTGAAGAGTAGTTTAATTCATGCCTTTAAACCAGTGCATCATTTCAAAGCCGTTATGTGAATCGTTAACAGTTAATACAAAGAAGATAATGAAAACCTTCATTTCCATTGCTTGAAGCAAGGAATGGGTAATTGCTGGACGCTGATTAAAAAAATATTTGCACTTGAAATATTAGCCATTAAGGGCAATATTCATGAAAAATCTCTTAGTATCAGATGCTAAATGCAAATGGGGGAAAAATCAGTGTGAATTCCCAGAGGTGTAGCAGGATATGTCAGTGCTTTCAACCTGGGTAAATTTAAGAGGGGTGGACTTCAACTCCCAGAATTCCCTAGCCAGGACCCCCACCACCCACCACCCATGGCTGTTTGAGGAATTCTGGGAATTGAAGTCTTAAAATTTGTCCAGCTTGGGAAACATTATTTTATGGCATTCAAGAATGGCTAAGAACAGACAACATTATAACACAACCAAGTAACCAAGAGTAGAAAAAGAGTTGCTCACTCATCAATAGCAGCATGAGAAAATCTAGCCCCAACTAGCTAGAAAACCTACCATAATTCAGAATATTAAAATGAATTAACAGACCCTCACCTGTGCTATACCGTATGGCAAGTATTAAAAATCCACCGGGGGGGGGGGGGGTATAACTCCAAATCCAGAAATCACCTTACCATACTATTGTTCAGATTCTTGTCAACTTTACAGAAGGTGTGTGGCGGGGTTTCCCCCTTGCTTGGGATAATGATGCAGATATCTGTGACCGCCAAGGTGTTCTGGGTCATGTTCTCCAAAGCTCTCCGATACGTTATGTACACTTTCTGGGACGAAGCACCGCTGCTGATATTCGCAGGGCGGCCAGACGGAGTGGTCTGGATGATTTCGCATCCCTGCTTCAACCTCTCTTTCCCGTCGTATAAAACCCTAGGCGGGAGAAAATAAATTAAAAGCAAGTACTTAAAGCACTGCTGGGGTACGGAGCAAATTCAGCCCCGTCATAACAGCACAATCCTAGATCTCTCCTACAGCAGGGGGAGGGTCAAATGCTATTTCATTGAGGGCCGCATCAGGGTTGTGTTTGACCTCAGTGGGGCGTGACCAGGGGGGCATGGCCAGCTCAACATCACTGTGTCGGGAGCACCTGTGGTGGCCCGAGCATTCTGCCAGTGAAAACGGAGTTCGGAAGGGCTGCATACGGCCCTCCTGAGCTTCGTTTTTGCTGGCAGAGGGTTGCAGGAGGCCGTCACAGCTGAAAATGGAGCTCAATAGGGCAGCACATGGCTCTCCCAAGCTCCATTTTTGCTGGCAGACGCACCGCGGGCCGGTCCTTCCCTGTTTCCAAGGCAGCCCCGCAGGCCAGATCTAAGCACCCCACAGGCCAGATCCACCCCACGAGCCTTGAGTTTGACACCCCTGCCCTACAGGTAGTCCTCCAGTAATGAGCCCAATTGCAACCAGAATTTCCTTCGCTAGGTGACCAGTTGTTAAATGAGTTGTGCCTGGTTTTATGACTTTTCACCATGGTGACAAAAAAAAAAGGAAATTGGGAAGCTATCGCAAACCCACGCAATCGTTAAGCTGATTCCGCTTCCCCCATAAACTTGGCTTGGCGGAAACCAGTTGGGAATGTTGCAAAGGGGTGGTTCCATGACTCCGGGATGCTGCAACCGTTGTAAAGACCGAGTGGCTGAATTTTCATCATGTGACCGTGAGAATGTTGAGACGGTCGGAAGTGCGAGGAGCGATCGTGAGTTAATTTTTTTCAGTTCCACTGCACCTTCAAATGGTTGCTAAACAAAAGTTGTAACTTGAGGACTACCATTTCAGTCAGAATCAGTCACATACTCAAAATTGAATGCCGTATATAGGCATTTTTGCAAATAAATACATTTTCTAGTCAATTCTGGTTCTGCCACCAAGGAGTATCTAAAGGCCCATTGGGTTTATAATTTACAAGTTACTATTGTCATCTGAAGCAGAGAAACTCAAAAGGACAGGATCAGACTAAATGCAGGCTCTTAAACCATAATATCCTCACTGTGGCCAATGAGAGGCCAAAGGGAAGTCCATAAACAGGGCACTCAACCTTCCTCTTATGTTTCTCAGCTTCAAGTACAGGTAAATAGTGGGAAACTTGCAGATCCCAAACCAAGAGAAATATATGTATATTAGCTGCTGACAGCTTTCTCTTTGGTATTGTCAAGTCTCCAAATTGATGGCCATCCTTATATCTTATGAGCTACATATCAGTGTGACAAAGTCCTTTTTCTTATTCCAATTTTCCCACTAGTAGGTTTTCTGGAACGACCGCAGGTTGTAATACTTTTGAGAAAGGAAGAAACTCTTCTCCTTATTACTGAATCTTCTTGACAGCCATTTTATGCCTTTAGTATCTTTTATGATACGTGGTATTTGAATTACACCTAATATTCTAAATCATCATCTGCACCATAAGTTCGATTAGGGCATTATTAATATTGTCAGTTTCATTTTTTTATGCCTTTCTTAACAACCTCCAGGAGAGAATTTACTTTTTTCATAGCAATCAAATCCTGAGTCAGTTTTTCACAGTTATTCATCATGTCAAGCCAGTCGATTTTTGCTCAGAGAATCAGATTCTTGCTTTTACGTTAGACTCCCCCCCCCGTGCATATTTTGTAAAGGTAAAGTTAGCAATAGCAATAGCAGTTAGACTTATATACCGCTTCATAGGGCTTTCAGCCCTCTCTAAGCGGTTTACAGAGTCAGCATATTGCCCCC